GTGGGGGCCCGTGGATGAGGTGGATTGTGCAGGGGCTCGGTGAGCCAGAGACATGGCAATCAGATGGGGGTGGAGATGCAGGATCGGTGATGGGGACTTGGCGTCCACGCATTCTCCCTTCCCATGCCAGGGGTGCTGGTCTGCCCACTCCCTCACACCTCTGTGCCAACCTACAGGATGATCCTGGCAAGGGCCCGGGAGCACCCGCCCGCCTCTACCCAGCGCGTGTGGATGAAGAGCGCCATCGTGGAGCGGGAGGCGGGGGACGCCGCCGCCGAGGCGGCGCTGCTGGAGGAGGGCTTGACCAGGTTTCCCACCGCCTGGAAGCTGCACCTCATGGCAGGGGCGCTGGCGGAGCGACAGGGCGAGGTCGAGCGCGCGCGTGCCGCCTACCACGCGGGCATCAAGCGCTGCCTGGACTGTGTGCCGCTGTGGATCGCCGCCGCGGCGCTGGAGGAGCGTGAGGGTGCCCTGGGTGAGTTGGGTGTTGGGGGGTGGGGAGGAAAGGGGGGGGGGAGGGGGGTTGCAGATGCAGATGCTGGACAGCGTGATTGTGGGCGGATTGCACGTCTGTTTGCCGGCTCAGATCACTCGGTCCTGCATTGAGTGGCAGGAATCAGGACCCCGCTCACCCTGCAGTGCATGCACCTGCGCCCCGCTTGCTCACCCACCCGTTGCTGTTGTCGGCGACCGCGATCTTCCATCCAGAGCAGCCGCTGTGCCCCGATGGCTCTCCTGACGTCCCCTCCACCCACCGCACATGCCTCCCACCATCAACAACCACAAAATCCCAGCAACCTCCCCCCTCCCCTCGGCCCTCAAACAGCCCGAGCCCGCGCTCTGCTGGAGCAGGCGCGGCTGAAGAACCCCGGGCAGCCGGCGCTGTGGCTGGCGGCCGCGCGCACCGAGGCGCGCGCCGGCAACGCCAAGGCCGCCGAGGCGGTGCTGGCGCGCGCGCTGCAGGCCTGCCCCGACTCTGGTGCGGTGTGGGCGGAGAGCATCCGCGCCGCGCCGCGCCCCGCGCGCCGGAGTCGCTCCGTGGACGCGCTCAAGCGCTGCAACGACGACCCCGCCGTCGTGGCGGCCGTGGCGCAGCTCTTCTGGGGCGAGCGCAAGGTGGAGAAAGCCCGCTCCTGGTTCGACCGCGCGGTCACCCTGGACCCTGACGTGGGCGACCACTGGGCGCTGTACTTGCGCTTCGAGGCCGCGCACGGCACGCCCGAGGCGGCGGCCGCTGTGCTGGAGCGCGCGGTGGCGGCCGAGCCACGCCATGGCGAGCGCTGGCAGGCGCTGGCCAAGGACCCTGTGAATGCGCACCAGCCGCTGGGGACGCTGCTCAAGAAGCTGGCACAGACCATCGAGAAGGACATGGCCATGTGAAGGCTGTGATGCGTGTGTTTGGGGGGTAACCGCGGCAGTGAGCTGCGGGCGGCCAGGTGGAGGAGCTGGGGGACTGCAAGGTGGTGCGGAGGTGGTGGGAACCAGGCGGCGGCGAGGAGGGATGGGTCCTCAGCTACACGGCGCGAGATGGAGCCCGGCCCCTGGCCACTGCTGCCCCGACCGCCACACCCTGGCACGCTGGCAGAGCCGGCTGTCAGCCTGCCCACCTAGCCGCGTTTGGCCCCAGACATGGAATGTCTCCACCCTGTACTTGGGGCGGTGCCCAATCTTCATGTCTCCACCGTGAGAAACTGGCGGCAGAACTGCTTGGTGAGAACCAATCCAGCTGTGTAATGTCGTCAGACAAAGAAGTGCCGAGTCATACCTATCTTATGGCCAAAGCTTTTTGCACACACATGTGTGGGCTGGTTGTGTGTACCTGTCGGAAGGCTCACCCCTCTTGGTCATGGACCTGTCCTGTGAAGCCGAGCCGAAACCGCCTCGCACCATTGATCCTGATTTCATGTCGCATCCGGGGCAGGGCCCCATCCCGGAGCACCGACATCGATGCTGGTCATTGCCGCCTGCGCCAGGAATTCCGCGTCGAAGCCGTTCATTCCTCGACAAAGCTTGCTGGCCACCGCAGCGGCGTGCCCCCATCCCCCGACCCGCGACAGCATGGAGGTATTCGCAGAGGCGCGCCGGGACATGCGACCTTAGTCATGCATGCGACCGACACGCGGGCCTGAACTGCCGTTCCACCGCCCTAATGTGAGATTTGTGTCCGAAAGGGGAGGGACACGAGACGCCATGCGTTCGCTGGCTGGGCAGGGTCCCTGCAGTGGGGGGCCTATCATGAGGCCCCCCCCTCTGACCGCGAGCCTCCCCACCAGCGCAGGGCCGGCTTGATGAGGATTGTGGCGGTAGGATTGCGCGCATAGGCCCATGTCGCGCCCCCATGCCATGACACCACGTGGCCGCCTCGTGGGGGGAAAGTACTACAGCCTCCAGCGTCATGGCCCCCCTCAAGCCTTCTGCCATGTCGGGGCCCAGGCTCCCGCGCCCTACAACCCCATCAAGCCGTCATGCAGACCCAGCCTTCCCGCAACTGGGGCCAGGAACGTCGATACCTGCGCCGTGAAGACCCTGAAGAAGCGGCGGCTGCCCCTGAATACCACCCGCTCCCCGCTCAACGGTTTCAATGGCACGCCCGAGGTGCTCCCCGCGGCCCAGGAGGCCCCCAACACCCCGGATGCCTCCCCCTGGTGGATGCAGCTGGGCCCCACCTGGAGCCTGTGCGTCCTGACCTTGGCCTACCTCCACCACTCCACCACGGGCTATGCCCTGCCCGCCCTCCTGCCCATAATCTCCGAGGACCTGCACCTGGTGGATACCCAGGCCGCCACCCTCACCGCAGGCTACACGGTGAGGAGTGGGTGGTTGTTTTAGGATGTCTGCGGCCGGAAGGTTTTGGTGAGAATGAAACGGGAAACGGTAGGACCTTGCAAAGAGCGAGGGGAGAATCATAATAGCACGGTTCTCAAGCGGACCGGCGTATGCTCGTCGCCCTAACTCACATCAGCTCAGGATGCCACGTACTTTTTCCGCCCCCGAATCCGCCCCCAATCACCCCCATCCCCAATCCTCCCAGGTGTTGTATGCGCTGGCCATGCTGCCGCTGGGCATTGCGGCCGACCGTGTGCAGAGCCGGCCGCGGCTGCTGGCCTGGGGTATCGCCGCCTGGAGCCTGCTCACGCTGGGCGCGGCGCGCACACACAGCTTCGCGGAGCTCCTGGCGGCGCGCGTGGGCTTTGCCGGGGCGCAGGCCACCCAGAACCCAGTCTGCTTCGCGCTCATCCCCGACCTCTTCCCCAAGAACCGGACCCGCGCCATGGCCCTGTACAACGCCGCCATCTACGCCGGGCGCGCGCTGTCTTTCGGCGTCCTCATGCTGGCCGTCAAGCTGGGCGTGCCCAAGGTGCGGGGTGGTCGTCGTCGTGCTGGGCGGCGGTGAGGTCCGTTGGTGTGGTGGCACGCAGAATCACCACCTCATGACACCCCCCCCCCCGGGAACGACGCCCCCTTGACTCCCTTCGCTCCACCTCCTCCACCCCAGGACCTGATCAACGACACCAGCTACGTGCTGGTCCCGCTGGACAAGGTGGACCTGAGCCTGGTCAGCATCATGTTCATCCAGGGCGACTATGCGGCGGTCAGCCCGGTGTTCAACTACGCCGCCACGCTGACCGGCGAGGTGCCCATCGAGAGCGCCTTCTCCGCCTGGCGTCAGCTCATGACCTGGGTGGGCGCGCCGGGCCTCCTCCTCGCCGGCCTGTGCTGGCTGACGGTGCGCGAGCCTGCGGGCGCCCGACGAGGCGGCAAGGGCCCTGGCGGCGGCGGCGGCGGCGGCGCAGGGGCCGGCGGTGCCGCCGCGCCCGCCCCCCCACCCTCGCCCCGCGCGCGGGCGCCCACGCCGCGCACTCCCCTCCCCCGGCGCATGCCGGCTGGGTGGAGGCCCTGCAGGACATGCGCTCCCTGCTGTCCAACCGCGGCTTCTTGGCCCTGACCGGCGCGGCGGCCGTCAACGACGTCGGCTCCTGGGCCCTGGTAGCCTGGCAGGGGCCCTTCTACCAGCGCGTCTACGACGTGGGCCCTGAGGTGTATGCCCCCCTGCTGGCGGTGGTCATCCCTGTGGGGGGCCTGCTGGGCGGCGTGGGCACGGGGCTGGCCGGCGACTGGCTCCAGCGCCGCGGCCTGGGCTCCCTGCTCACCGTCGGCTCCAACCTGGCCGCCGCGCCGGTGCTGGCCGCCTCCATGCTCATGCCCGACCACCGCTCCTCCATGGCGGTGCTGCTGCTGGGCTTCGCGCTCTCCGAGGCCTGGCGCGCGCCCGCCGCCGTGGCCTTGCGCGACGTGTCGCCGCCGGGGCGTGGGGCCGCGGCCTCCGCGCTGCACCTCTGCCTGCGAAACCTGGTGGGCGGCGTGGGGCCGCTGGCGGTCGCCGCGCTCGCCGGACGCGTGGGCCTGCAGCACGCCATGCTGCTCGTCCCCGGCTGCTTCTTCACCTCGGGCCTGGGCTTCTGGGCGGTGTCTCGCCTGAACAAGGCGCAGGCGGGGCGGTGAGGTAGGAGGGCGGGGCTGAGGCGCACGGCTGCCGGCGGGCGTCGGAGCGGCCGTGGCGGGAGCTGGGCGCGGCAGCGGCTGGCGCGAGCGCACGCCGCTGCAGGATGCAGGAGGGAAGGAGGGCTGCGTCCGATGGGTCCTGGAAGTGTGCAGGGGGATGCAGGCTGGATCTGGGCTGCGTGGCGCTCAGCATGCCTCCGGCACGGCCACCCACCGCATGACTCGGGCACCAGAATGAGCAGCAGAGAGCATAGATGTGATGATTCTAGGAACCTGCAGGGTATGTGATCAAAGCCTTTTGCAATCGATGCAGTAAGGGGATTCTCCAAGCGACCAGGGGCCTGGTCTCAGGGTCACCGTTCCAGAACAAGGCCAGGGAGGCAACGCACCCCTACCAGGGGAGCACGACAGGGAAGGTACTGCAGGCCGCATGCGCTGGGAACGGAGAGGTCGAGCATCTCAAGACGTCTCTGACACACTCCGGACCGTCTCCTGGCCACAATTCCACGCCTGAGAATATCACACATAGTTTCTGATGGCGAAGCCGAGGACGCGCCCCCCCAAGGAGCGCAAAGTGCTCGAGCCTCTGTCGGCGGAGGGAGACTCCAAGTTTGCACGGGCCCTGGGGAGCGTGGATGGCCGCACGCGGGAGGCAGGGCTCCAGGCCCTGGCAGTATGGCTCTCACGCAGACAGGAAGTGGACAGGCTGGACCTGCTCAAGCTGTGGAAGGGGCTGTTCTACACCTTCTGGCACAGCGACCAGCCCACCGCCCAGGTGTGCGAGCCACGCCGCGCGAGGGTCGCGGCTGTACCTGCATGCATGCGGCATGGCATGCCCTGCATTCCATCTTTACACTGCCCGTGCCAGTGCCTGACTCCCCCAAACGCTCGCATGCTCGCAGTCAGCTCTGGCGGAGAGGCTGGCCGACCTCCTCCTAGTCCTCCCACCCCTGGTGAGAAAATGTGCTCACAACAAAGGGACAAGTAGTTGCCGAGGATCGTGGACGAAACTCATTCTATTCATCGCAGCTCTGGCAATGTCTCATCTCTGGTGCATGTGCATGGAGATCAACAGCGACAGGTTTCACCAGAATATCGAAGACCCAGCCCACGGTCCTCAGACCTTCATGCTCATCCCAACACCCGCCCTTCCGATCAGGTATCTGATCTCTTCTATGAGACCTTTGTGCAGACCATGCGCCGCGAATGGTTTGGCATTGACCGGCTGCGCATGGACAAGTTCATGATGCTGGTCCGCAAATTCCTCTTCGGCCTCCTACGGAGGTTCCGCCAGGAGCAGTGGTGAGCATTTATCTCAGGCGCTGCAGGCGGCAGGGTGGCTGGGGTCTCAGCTGAGGGTCAAGCTTACTGTCCACGAATCCATGACCCCTGCATTGGTTGTAGGCACCATGTCTGCCTCACCCACCCCCTACCCCACCCACTGGCCCACCCAGGGACCCAGCCGTCATAAGGAAGACTACCAGCTTCTGGCTGGAGGAGATCCTGCTCCCCACCGACACGCTCTCCGCCACCGGCTTTGCATACCATCTCACGGACCTGCTCCTGCCAGAGCTGCAGCGAGTGGTGACCAGCGCCGCCGAGCAGCCCTCCGCAGCCGCCTTGGCCGCGCTGCTAGAACCCTTCTGCCAAGCGCTGGCGCAGACGGGCAACCCCGCCCTGCAGTTCCGCCTCAGGTGCGAGGGGTGGCACATGATCTCACTCTTGGGGGCTGAGGCGCTGTCAGGACTGAGCAACTTGGGAATTCTCAGGGCGTCGCCCTGGGCAACATGCAGGGTGTTGCCGCCTGCTTTGAACTCATCAGCGCACAATGGGTGCTGCTTCCTCCTGACTGCCATTAGCTTTGGAGGAGGACCCTTAGGTTGCATAAACTCCAATTCACCCCAAACCGTCCTGGACACGCAGGCACGGCGTCTTCCTGACCATGCTCAAGGAGATCCAGAATCCCTCGCCGCATCAGCCCCTACGGCACCTGGCAATCACCGACTTTGCGGCTCACATGTTTGATCTAGGTAGGATGGGCAGCTGGGATAGTGGGCACCCACTTTGCAGCTGGGTGCCCTCTCGGATGCATGATGGTTTGAATCAGATGCAGTGCCACTCCATGCATTTTTGGTGATGGTGCCCCTGAACCATACCGAGGACAACTATCCGTGCACGCCGCTTCCAATGGGTGCCTCGGCTGAAGTTCCTCGCATACTATCCCCAAATTCATCAGCCTGTGGTGTCCCAGCTGCGGAACCAATGGGTTAAATACGTTTGGCACATCTACTTTCTGACAACCTTCATATCTACATGCACTGCTCCATGTCGCTGCCACAGCAAGTTCTGTGACCTCGAATCAGATTCTGCCCACCACTCATGTTTGCCAGCTCACATTCCCTTGATCCACCCACCCATGCGTTCCCCATTGCCATCCACCCAAGGTGCTGCGGTGGAGACGAGACGCAAGAATAGGGAACTGTGCTACGACCTGAGCAGCCGATTTGAGGGCATAACGCCTGGCAAACCCACCGCGGCCCCCAGTGACGACTCAAGCAATAGGAGCGCCGGCGCCGTGCTTGGCGGCTCGGACTCAGCACCTGCAAGTGCCAAAGTCCTCGCCACCCCGTCAAGTGATGCGAGTGCGAAGAAGAAGAAGAAGCGGGACGCCGCGGCGGTGGATGCCCCCAACGGCCACGCTGCTGTCACACCCAGCACCCTCGGAAAGTCTGCCAAGAAGAAGAAAAAGGTGCAGGCTGAGCCCGAGCCTGCAGCAGCGTCGCCCTCGGGTCCAGCACCTACAGCAACCAACGGCCATGCCAGGGCTTCTATGAGTGGCCCAGAGCCAACGGATACGCCAGCTGCAGGCCCTGTCGCTGCGTCTGCGGAGCCGAGCAGCGCAACCACCCCCCTTTTTTCTGCAAAGTCCAAGAAGAAGGCGCCGGCGGTGGCAGCTGCTGTCACGCAAAAGGCAGCGGCACCAGCGACCGGAAAGACTACGCCGGCAGCGCCGGCAGCAGTGTCAGTTAAATCTATGGCAGCGGCGTCGACGGCAAAGGCAGGAAAGGCAGCGACGGCGACGGCATCGCCGCCACGGACGCCCACGGTGCCTGCCGCGCCACACGACACGCCTGACACCCTGGCAAAGAAGAACGTGCGTTTCTCGCTGCGGCGTAACCTGGTCATGACCATCGGCGAGCCGCCCGCGCCCAGCGAGGTCAGGACGCCACCCTCCTCCAAGCCCAAGGGCCCGGCGCTGAAGAAAGCATCCTCGCTTGGCAGCGCGCCCGGGCGCCTGACAGGCAAGTCTGGCGGTGCGGCTCGGCGGCTATCCATGCAGGGCATGGGTACGTCTGCCAGCGGCGGGAAGCCGGGCAAGGGGAGGAGCAGTCTTGGGCCGCGGCCGCGGGCCGCCGACTTTTTCTGAAACTTTCTCCATGACTGCTAAGAATTGGTTGTGACAAAACACAGTGTACGTTGAGAGTCTGAAGCGGGGAGAGGGCTGAGCAGGAGTGCACAAGTCAGAGGAATGCCTCAGAGGCTAGGGGCAAGGTTGGGGTTGTATCGTACAGATCTGGCGCACGCCGCAGCTCGGGGGAAAGGGAGGGAGCGCTGCTCCGGCCAAGAGCACGTGGGAGAGGAATGACGGGGGGTCGCTGGATGTACATGGTCCCGTGCTGCTCCATGGCCCACGCCCGGCCTGCTCTAAAACAGGAGGGGCATGAGGCTCGTCTGGCCATCGCTGCAGGATTTGACTCTGGTCTCCCCCGTCACGGCTCGGCACATGGGACAGCTCCGCTCCCGCTCAAACCACTGCATGGATAATTGGAGGGGTCACTGTGGCAGGATGTGGGACATGCGGTGGGCTGGTGAACGAGGCTGTCATCCATACATTCGCGAGCTTGGCTGCGCCCCTTGGGGTCCACGCGATAGCCCCCAGCCCCTGGCCCCCTCCCCTCCCACCTCTGCCACGCAGGCGTCGCAGAAGATGTGGCTGCACGGCAGCTTCACGGGGAGGGTGGGCGGCTCCTGGCAGATCGGGCACACGCTCCCCGCCTCCGCCACCTCCTCCGCCGAGGGCGGCACGCCGTTGTCGCCCCGGCCCAGCTGGCGCGTGGCCGCCAGCGCCGCGGCGCCCAGCCGCCGCGCGTGCACGGCCTTGATGGCGAGGTAGGGCAACTGGGCGGCCAACCCCGCGCCGCCCAGGTATGTCAGCCAGAGCGGGGCGGGGCCCAGCGTGCGCAGCGCGAGCGTGGCGTGCTCCAGCCAGGTCAGCAGCGCGGACCGGCGCCGCCGCGCGCGCGGGTCGTCGGCGACCATGCTCGCGATGGCCGCCAGCTGGCCAAGAGGGGGCGGTGGTAGGGGGGCTCGAAGGATGATGAGCAGGGAGGCTATCCATGACGCTGAACGCCTGGGCGCGCCAGCCACATGCCTTGCACTGCCACCCCCTTTCCGTCGGGCCGAAGGGCACGGCATGCATGCACGCCCCACACGCGACACGGGAATGAGGGAGCCCGCGTGCCGCAGATGCATCCCCTCGCCGCGCCGCTTCCAGACGGCCGGTTTGCCCACCACACGGTCGCCGCCACCCCACCTTTGCTGCTGCCACCAGGATGCGAAAGCAGGTGTCGGCCGCCACGACCAGCAGGAGCGTGGCCCAGAAGCCCCGGCGCGCCGCCTCCAGCCGCCCCGCCGGCCTCAGCAGGTAGGCGGCACAGACGGCGGCCGCCAGCACGGCCGCCAGGCCCCGGCCCAGCAGCGCGCGCGCGTCCGCCGCGCCCTTGTCCGTCAGGGCCGCGGTGGCGGCGCGGTTCAGGCGGCGCAGGAGCGCGGTGAGGCCGGCCCAGAGCGCCAGCACGGCGGCGCTGCGCCAGGCGAAGATGAGGAGCATGAGGGCGAGGTAGGGCGCGTTGATCTCCACCCCGCCCCCCAGGTCTGCCAGGTCCAGGCCGATGGAGGTGGACAGGCGGTGGTGCTCCGCCTCGTCGGCCAGGTTGGCATCGTCGCTGGGGGCCGGAAGGGCGCCGGGCAGGGCAGAGACTGATGGAGCCCCAGCAGGAAGGGGTTCATCCCTCAGCGGACCAGGGCCCGGGCCCTGGTTGATCATGCCTTCCTGGGAAGGCATCGCCTCCAGGTGCCCGGCCTGTGGCTGGCCTGTGCTGAAGGACACCTCCAGGCGCCGGGTGGAGGAGCCCAATTCCTCGCCACCCTGCCACACCCGCCTCAGCAGGGAGCGGAGGGTGTGGGTCCCCCCGCCCCTCTCCACCGCCGGTGGTGGGCGTGGCAGATACATGGAAGGAAACGATGCGGGCACCGGGTCGAGGGCTTGGCTGCTGCCATCCGATCGGTGGACCAGGACCGAGACCTGTCGGACGGGGTCCTGCTCGCCACCGACGGGGGAGGCCATGTCCGGCCGATATGCCAGACAGCCAATCACAGAGTAGATATCGTTTGTGTACACATCACAGGACTTGGTAATATCCCATATTCAGTGGATCTGACATCAGGAAATGTCTCGACGTTAGATGACGAGTGCCACGCTGGCAAGAGGACACGGGGGCCTAGCGAGGGCGCAGAACAGGGCACATGTGACAGATTCCAGGCAATTTGATTCACTTCAGAATGTATTGAGTGCTTCATAATCTTGAACCACCGACGTCCCGGCTTGGAGGCACGGAAGAGGGGGCGGTCTCGTCCTTTTGGCGACCAGCACGACGAGCGCAGGCGTGGGGTTTGCCAAGCTCCCATCTCGTCTTCTAGGATAACATATTGTCGAGACGCTGAAACGCGTGCCGCCACCGAGGCTGCCTGAACGCTCAGCATAGGGTGTCCCGGAGCAGGCGGACGCCATGGAGTTTGTCGGCAAGGTGGGTTGGCCCAGGGAAGAGGATGCGCATGTCCTTTACTGTGTAAATACGATATAAATCGGTAAAGCATGCTCTGGCGCCCCACAGGTGATCTCCAACCGGATGCAAAAGTCCATCCTGGTTGCTGTGGACCGCATCGTGAAAATTCCCAAATACAACCGGGAAGTACGGCGAACGACCAAGCTCATGGTGAGGGCAGCGAGAAAGTTATGATTCTTGTTGCAGTGGGCTGCTGCGTGCCCCGGCGCAGACGAGGGGTGCGTGGTGGAGCAGCAACGCTCAGGAGGGCAAATACGCCCGGCTGCTCACCCGCTCCGGTCTCAATTGCTTTGCAGGCCCATGATGAGACCGACACCTGCAACATTGGCGACACCGTGAGGATACACAGTTGCAGGTACATCACAGGGTCTTGGGATCGTGTTTCATGATCGGCAAGGCAAAGAGACACATGCTCCTTGACTTCTCTCCTGTTGAGTACCCCTCGGCGTTCACTCTCGCAGCCTTGGAGAAGGGCTTTGGGTGTGAGCTGCTCACCGTCCTGTTCCCTCCCCTCCTCTCAACCTTCAGGCCGCGCAGCAAGCGGAAGTGCTGGGAGGTGACGGACGTGTTGCAGCGCACCAAGATCTACGACGCCGAGGCCGCCACCCGCGGCGCGGTCAACAAGCTGCGGGCCGTCGCCGACCAGGGTTTTGCCGCCTCGGCGCTCCACCCCCCCCCACCCTCCCCGCCGCCCTGTGCTTGACGTGTGCAGCCAGGCCCATGAATGAGCGTGTCCTGCTGAGCTGCGCAGCCTGCCTCGAGCCGGGATTCTCGGGCATGCTGGGGAGGCTTGAGCTGACGACCACCCAGCTCTCAAGCATACCTCACGTATCCTGCAGCGAGGCTGCTTGCATCCACTTGTCAGTGCACCGATGCGCCCTGCATCGCCTGCAAGAGAGCGCATGCACGCAGCAACATCACGAAACAAAAAGCAGTTCCAGGACATGGGTTTCTCCAAGACGGGTGCTTGCCTCTGGGCGGGCGACGCGGCGCATCGCGCACTCAGCGCGGATCCCGGCGCTGGCCTCGCTCACGGCGTCCGCCCATACTCTCCACGCCGGCTCCGGCCGGGGCTGGGCTGCCAGCGGGCGGGCTCGCCCTCGCCGTCCGACCCCCCTGACTCGTCTGCCAGAGCCGTGGCCGAGACACTGCTGGCCAGCACGCTGACGGAGGCGGTGGAGGCGCCGAGCGCGCCGCCGCCCCTGCCCGAGGGGCTGGCCAGGGAGTGCGGGGAGAGCGCGGCGGGCAGGATGGTCACCGACCGCGCCATGGTGCGCAGGGGACGGGCGGGGCGGGGGGGCCGCCCCGTCCTGATCCCGGGCGTCGCCGCCGGCCCGGCGGGGCCGGCCGGCCGCCGCGCGGCCTCGGCGCCGGCGCCCGGCCCGGCGAGCCCTAGCAGCGGGTCCTCCAGGTCGCCGCTCGCCTCGCTGCCGTTTTGACCCCGGGTCCGCCGTCCCTGGGCGGGACCCGGCTCCTCCTCGCCCGTGCCCGGCAGGCACGAGCGCAGGATCTCGTTATACACCGAGGTGCCGGAGATGAGCACCACGAAGCCCACCAGCTGTGGCGGGGATGCGGGAAGGGGAGGAGGTTTGTGTGGGAACGATGACTGTGTGGCCAGCTGCGAGCCCACAGGCGAAGCAGGTGCGGGAGGGTGGGTGCTCTGCAGCACTCGACAGCGTCCTGCATCGCGCACAGGAAGAGGCATTGCCCGTCCCTCCCACGCACTTGCATTCATGGACTTGCGCTCGACACCCCCCACCCCCACCCCCACCCCATCCCCAACCCCCCATCCGCCCACTGACTCACCTGAAGCACATGCGCCCTCTCCCACCCCGCCCAGAGGGAGAAGAGCCAGACGAAGAGGGTGCGGCAGGCGTCGATGGCGGCGCGCGACCCGCCCGACAGGTTCTTGGTCACGCTGACGCCGAAGAAGTTGAAGGCGCCGATGCTGGCCACCGCAGCCGCCGTGGTCCACTGCAGGCGCGGGCTGGCACGCAGCGCGCGCAGCGCGTCGGGCAGGCTGTCCAGCGGCTCGCCGCCGCGCCCGCGCACGACCGACAGCAGCGGCAGGGCCAGCGCGGCGATGGCCAGGCCCCAGGCGCCCTCCACCCCCACCGCCAGCAGGACCGGGGCGCGGTGCTGGGTCAGCAGCTTCTCCTCACCGATGAACTGGCAGGCCGCCAGCAGCTGGGCCAGGATGACCAGCAGGTTGCCCAGCAGAGGATTGGGCGCCGACGTGTTGTGGTGGCCCACGCCCACCGCCTGCGCGCGATGGGGCGAGCGGGGTCGAGGGGGAGTCGGGGAGTGTGGGTCGCGGCGGCAGGTGGGGGGGTCCTGTTGTGGGGCGTCACGAGCACCAGGCCCTTCACAGCGGTCAGGACTGCCGGCGACTCGGCATGACCCTTGCCCCACCAGAACGAATCCCAAACCTCCACCGACCTCAAGCAGGGCGAGGAGCTTCCCGCCGGCCCGCGCGGCCAGGCCCGGCAACCCCTGCCGCGCCGGCGCCCGGCCGTCGGCGTACAGGATGGAGGAGGCGCCCACCAGCGCCGCCCCCGCGCAGATGAGCGTGATGCCCGCCCAGTGGTGGGCGTAGAGCTTGCGCTTGAGCACGGTGATGGTGAGCAGGCCGGCAAAGACGACCAGCGTGCCACGCAGCATCTGGCAGGCGGAGGCGGAGGTGTAGTACAGGCCCAGGTTGAGCATGGTGGTGCCGCCCGCGTCGCAGAGGGCGGGGAGGCCAAAGGCCCAGGCTGCGGCACGGTGGCGGGCGTCGGAGGCCGCGCGGTCCGTGGGGGTGCGCAACCCGCGGCGCGACCAGCGCCAGATGAAGTGAGGGATGAGGCACAGCGCCTCGCCGGCAAACATGCAGGCGGTCTGCAGCGCGGGGTGGCGGAAGGTGATGGGGGTGCCGTCGGGGCGGTGGCCCACCACCTCCGTGTCTTGCAGCTTCAGCACGATGGTGAACAGGGAGCCTGGTTTGATGGGGAGGGGGGGAGGAGGACAGGGTTGGGGTGGTGAAGAAAGGGGAGCGCGACGGGTGGGATGCATGCGGATGGGGACCGCCTCCCCCTCCCCTACCCACACACCACGACATGGGCCGAGCATGCCGACATCAAATGCAGGGCCAGTGGGTGTACATCCACATGCATCGCCATGCGTGTTCACAGGCGCCACCGAGAACATGGCCCACCTGTGAAGAGCATGCAGGCCGCAAGCACGGCTATCGGAACTCTGGCCATCGTGTCCGACAGTGCGCGCGGGCGGGACCTCCCCGTGGGATCAGACGCGCCGGGTCACCACCAGATCAGGGGATGCTTGGAGGCATGCGTGAGAGGTCGTATGTACAGGGTGGGTGAGAGCACCCAGCAGTGGGCTGCCTGGGCCCCCAGGTGCAGCAGCCGCGCCCTCACTTCCGGCACGTGCTGGTAGGTACAGCGCGCTGCCCCCAGTCGACGACCCGTACACGATCTTATTAGTTGCAGGGCGGCTGATCGTCTGGCAAAGCATACCCTGCCATGCGAGCTGATGAGCGATGGATCACGCGCAGGGATCACCGGCCCTGGGGGAGGTGCCGGCAATGCTCGGCGTGATTTCCTTCTTAGGTGGATGTCCTCGAAGCTGTTCCTCCACACCACCTCCCGGGAATGGGGCATCCTGGTGCTCCCCACTCTCAGCCAGTGTCGACTCAGAGAAACCACCTAGCATCAAGGAAGCATGGCAACAGCCAGGACACCAATGCATCAATGGCATGGTGCTGACAAAGCAGGACCGGCCTCGGACCACAGGTGACACCGTGTGAGCAGATCCACTCAGTGCCCGAGACTCCTCCACATCCGCGCCGCCTCCCGCCTGCTCCCCAGTCCCTGGTTTGCATACACCCAAACCGCCCGATCGCCATACAGCGCTTCATAGGAGGTGTCAACTCCTTGATGGCCCGAACTCAGGTCCGTCAAGTTGACATACTTTCCCTTGCCCTTGTCTGCCTGAGATGTAGCTGGGAAGAGGCCGTCCACCCACCTCCCGCGACAATACGGGCAAGAGGCGCCGCTGCCGGCTTGTCGCCGGTGCTTTTGCCAAAGTTTGATGCACCCACGGTGCACATTGTTGCCACACACTCCACAGAATGTCAGCTGCGGGGGATGCAGGTGCTTGGGGCGGTGAGATTGAGGAAGATATATGTGAGATGTTACATGTTTCGAGCACATACCTTCTCTTGGTCCTGCTTCTAACATTTCCGAAGGCTGTCCAGGTCTTTGACATCTCCACGACCCATCAGAAGATAGTGATGACCCCAACTACTGTCTCACTTAGTTACCTGATCAGCCGCGCCTCCAGCACCCAAGGCCATTGCTTCCATGCAGATGGGGCAGTCTCCCTCCACTGGCCTCTGGCCTGGGGCCAGTCCACTCTCTTGGCTGACCTCAGCTGGGCCCTGGCTTCCCGACATGGCACGGAAGGAGGCCTGTACAGCCGCATTCGCCATTGGTGCAGCGGTACAGCAGGGTGCGGAGCTGAGGACGGCCTTGACCTACAGGGTGGTAACAAACATAGAGCCGATGGTTACTCCCATTAGACAACAATGGTATGTGCAAAAGTGTTCAAAGCATCAAGGACTGAGAGCTTCACTCCAGAAGTAAATCCATTCTACCTGTCAGGACACTCGTAATGGCTGTGACAACAAAGAATTTCCTCACTTTCCGCCAGCCTGAAATCCCTCACTCGCCTCCCCTTCAGCGTCGCAAGCCTCACCTCGTCTGTGAGCAGGGCTCGCTGCCACACAAGGGGATCAGAACTCTTGAGACCCAGAACTCTCAACATCACGAACAGGATGTGCTTGCATAGATTTCCCTTCAGGAAGTCTGGGCAGGTGCATGTAGGCTGCCGGCAGATGGTCACAGAGTACACTGTGGAATGGGAGTCTGTCGGTGAGTTCCTGTGGAGGATCATAACCTCCGGTAAGGGTGCAGGCACAGCACTAGACCCAAGGCAGCAGACTCTTAGCATTAGGTACAGAACATCTGTCTTCGACCCCACCCAGCCCCCCAACTACATGCAGCGCAGGACGAGGACCCACCATTTCCCGTGGCGCCCAGCACAGCAAACTCCTCGGCAAGGGAAGCATTCCCTTCATCCTGCTCCTCCGCGGCCGGATCAGCGCGTGAGGAAGGCCCCACCTCTGGAACACCATTCCCGCCAGCATCCACCCGCTTGCGCTCGATGAGGAAAAGGCGGTGGCCCGAGGACTCGCTGGCCCTGGCCATCCGCTCCTTGACCTTGATGCTGGGTGATGCACAGAAACGAACCGTCCTCCCAGCACAGTCGATGCGCTTCTCTTCGTCCTTCTTCGCGTCATTCTTCCTCTGACGCTTGGCTGGTTTGATCTCCTTGGATGTGCTTGCGGCTGAGGTGGAAGCGGGTTCCGTCACTACCGTCGAAACATCGCAGAAGCCGCTGCCAGGGCCATCCGGCTCCTCGAAGCTCTCCTTCTCCTTCTTCACCCGTCGACTTCGTCTTATGCGTGGCTTGGTACTGTCGGCCAACTCCTCGGCGGACGGTAGAACGGTGTCAGCGCTCGCGCTGGCCTGAACAGCAGGCGCACCTGTCGGAGATTCTTGCGTCAAGTCGATTGTTTCTGGTCCAGGCGCTTTCCGACGCACCATGACGAAATTCACATTGGTGACTCAGATGGGTGGTCGTCGGAAAGTCCCCTTCCCTTCGCAGCTGGGCCTCGTGAAGGACGCCCATCTCTGGAGTGTGGGTCAAGCCACGTGATCGGTTCAGCGCACTCACTACTGCAGTCTGATAGCACCATTCTGGCCAGCTTTGTTTCTCTTTGATATATTTCTATTCTTGAATGTGATATTGTTGCGTCTGGGAAACCTTTCAGTGCACAATACTGGGTGCCTTGACGTCGGGACACTGATGGCAGGTCGGCTCACCGAGGCGCAGGCGCGGGACTGGGACATGCATGTGCAATAGGGATGGTCGAGCGGACAGAAGTCTAGTACGCAAGCGCATTTAGAACCTTACAGTATATGTAAGAACTCCTGGACGTAGAATGGGGCCTCCATCGCGGTCTCAGGGAGAGTCCAGGGCCAGGGATGGCCGGGAGGGAGAGGCCGGTTTCTCCGGCCGACTGCCCAAGGATGAGGTCCAGTACTACGAGGAGATCGACAAGCAGCTCTCCAAACTGGAGGATGGGGAGGAGCAGAGGCTGCTGGCTGACAACGCCTTCGAGCAGGCCGGCACTCAGCTGATAGAGGCGACGGGGGATGGCGTAGTGAGCAGAGTGCTTGAGAAGCTCATGCCCCACGCCAGCACCCAGGCCCTCATCGACATGCTGACGGCCCTTACATCAGGAGAGAACCTCGCTGCCGTCTGCACTGGGTGCGTTTGGGTTGATGTGGGGGCCTTGAGAATGCGACGGGTGGGTCCGCCGTGTGACTTGCCTGCAACGAGGATGGGCAGTCGGAGGTGCTGGGGATGTGGCCCTGGACCAATTGGGGTTCATGGTCCGCCATCTCACTGCTTTCAGTGCTCTGCGTGCTGAAAGATCCATCTGACCATGTCTTGCGGCAGGGCACCCTTCCCCTCCCACGTGGCCGAGAAAATCCTGATCCTGCTACAGAGCCGGGCTCGCGCCGGGGAAGCCCCAGAACAGATCGAGCAGGTGAGCGCTCGAGGCCGAGGGTGGGCTGGATACTGAGGAGTGCATGTGCAAGGAGCATGGTCCCTGAAGGCAATGGCACAAAGGGGCCTTGCTGATTCAGATCCGGCATCAGTTGGACGACGTCACTCTGGGAACTGGCTTTAAAAACACCAACCCTGCCGGCAACACTCCCCAGCACCACTTCCTGTACCTTCCTTTCCGTTTCCAGGCCCTGTACAGCACGACGGAGTCAGTGTGCGGCGACCTGCAGGCGGTCATCACGACGCGGCACGGCTCCTTCCTTTCCCGCCGCCTCCTCAGCGTGCTCGTGGGGCGGGACGTGACCTCCGGCCCCTCAGCCAAGGCAGCGCCAGGTCCCTCAGTAGCCGGGGGGGGGTCAGACGCGGCGGCGCCAGAGGTCGAGGAGGAGAAGGGTGAGGAGGCGGCGCCCAAGCGGCGCAAGACGGTCGGGGGCCTGGCGAGCAAGCTGGAGAGGGGGAGCGACACCTCGGCCGCGGCCTCGGCGGGGGAGGTCGATCACCCAGAGGCGCTGCAGGGCCTGCTGGCCTCCCTGCTCACCGACGACTTTGCCGTGGAGGCGGCCGCCCTGTGCCGCAACACTTTTGCCGCACCTTTTCTCCAGTCCCTGCTCTGGGCCTGCAAGGACAACGAGTGCGTCTGCTTGGGGTATGGGTTTGGGCGTGGGTGCTCGGGGGTACATATTTACCCTCCCCATGTTGGCGCCATGTGTGGAGGTTGTAGGGACCGGGGAACAGGCGTTGGGACCGGTGCACCGTCTTGCAGCAAGACAAGGACAGTCACAGAGACGACCGCTCCACTCGTTGTCTTTAAAGCAAATGCAAGCCCCGCGCCTCAAGCGACAAACCATTCCTTGTCAACGGGCCACCCTCCCCCGCCCCGCCTACCTCCGCAGGGAAGCCACCACGCAGTTAGTCAGCTGTCTGCTGGGCGGCACGATGCTCAACGTGACCCCAGACCAGCTGCAGCAGATGATGCAGGACAAGGTGGCCAGCCACGTGATTGAGGTGGGAGGCGAGAAAGAGAGACTTTGGGGGGAAGGGCTGGGAGGCCGAGAATATGAGCATACTCTCGGCGCCCTGTCGCCGCCACTGCATGAGCAATGAGTATGGGCTCCCGGTCAATGGTAA